GTGTGGGAGAGGTTCCTGGTGAGGGGTGTGGGAGAGGTTCCTGGTGTAGGGGGTGTGGGGAGAGGTTTCTGGTGAGGGGTGTGGGAGGGGGTCTCCTGGTGAGGGGTGTGGGAGAAGTCTGCATGGAAGGGAAGGGGGTTAAGGTTTACGGTGGAGATGAGGAAGGTTAAAGTATTGCAGTGAGGGAGGGGAAGGTAAGTATACAGTGGAGGAGGGGAAGGTAAAGTATACAGTGGAGGGAGGGGAAGGTAAAGTATACAGTGGAGGGAGGGGGAGGTTACCTGGAGGTTATTCCGGGGATCAACGCCCCCGCGGCCCGGTCCATAACCAGGGGCTCCCGGATGGATCAGGCCTGACAACTAGGCCCTGCGTGGGGGAGGGGGAGGTAAAGTATACAGTGGGGGGAGGGGGAGGTAAAGTATACATTGGAGGGAGGGGGAGGTAAAGTATACAGTGGAGGGAGGGGAGGGAGAGGCAATAAACAGGATAAATATACAGTAAAGGGAGAGTGTGTACAGGCTACGTATTTTTTTTATATTCTTTGGTGAGCAATAAACTCTTATGGATCACACACAACCTGTGGGATGAGATGTAATTAGACTTAATCAACTGTAGATATATTTGGTCAAGAGACTATACACCGAGCAGTTCTCAGCTATTTTCCACGACTGATTAACCATAGTTAACCAAAATACCCAAAACTGACTACCTGGATGTGGCTGCTTGTCGAGTTAGTGAGGGAAGGAGATTTATAGTGAGGGAAGAGAGGGGAAGAGGTTTATAGTGAGGGAAGAGAGGGGAAGAGGTTTATAGTGAGGGAAGAGAGGGGAAGAGGTTTATAGTGAGGGAAGAGAGGGGAAGAGGTTTATGGTGAGGAGAAGGAGAAGAGAAAAGATTTGTCAGATCACCAGTGACAATTATTGTAGTCAGGGGTCAGGTAAAACCCACGTACAGCAGACCCATGTATGACATGTTGGTCATCTGTAGGACCACCGAGGCAGCCCCTTCCCAAGCACATGAATGTGCTTAGGAAGGGGTTGGCCCTGTATACCTGTAAATGTAACCTAGACGCTCACTGTCAAGTATAGACTGATATAAAACCCCTTCCACTTCCCTCCTTCCCTCTTCTCTGTGTGCAGGGGAAGGGAAACCAAGTGAGGGGATATGTTGTCTTATACAACACTTGCTGTTGCTGCTGTATAATACAGCACAGTTGTATGCTCTCGCTGTGTATTATTTTAAACGCAAAAGCCACCCAAATAAACAAAAAAGTTACCTTAAAAGTGTGGCAATAAAAATTAATGAAGTAATAAAGACGCTGATGATGAGAATGAACGACAATTTTCCATTTGCATAATAAGTTGCCAAGGCGTCCAGAGTCACATATAACTGGCCACCAGTGACGCTCTTGAGTGAGCGAACAAAGTTCCAGGTGAACATGTTACAGTCATCATGGTGGGTCAGTACTAAATTATAGTCACATCTCATACATATGTATATAATGCTTACAGGCACAGTATATGTACGCATGGATGAGAGGTAGAATACATGTTCGTATGGATGTGAGGCAGAGTATATGTACACATGGATGAGAGTATACGTACACATGGATGAGAGTATACGTACGCATGGATGAAAGTATACGTACGCATGGATGAGAGTATACGTACGCATGGATGAGAGTATACGTACGCATGGATGAGAGTATACGTACGCATGGATCAGAGTATACGTACGCATGGATGAATAAGTAAAGAAGTATAACACTCTTACAAGACTGGTTTTGGCTGCCTTACATAACGCTGGTGTCATTTTGTTCTCACTGACGAACGTTAACAAACCTTCATTAATCAATTTACATGTATTTAAGCTATTAACGAATAAAAATATCCAAGCAAAACAGAGCCCGCAGCTATGGATTAGAGTTAGAGAAATTTAAATTTAGAAGGGAGATGGGAAATTACTGGTTTAGTATCAGAGTTGTAGATGTGTGAAAGCCCTCAGGATCACTGACACGAGAACCGTTAACAGTTATAAAACCAGGTTGAACACGTACATGAATGGGTGTGACTGTGAGATAGACTTTCCTAACAAGGGGCAGTATGGGCCAGCAGGTCTGCTGCAGTGTTCCTCCATTCTTATGTTGTGTATTCTTGTCAACTCGTTGTTTCAACAAGTAATCGGCCAGATTACAAATTCAACGACAGATGAGTTTAGTATATCGTATGGAATGCAACTGATAAACAAGATCATCTGACTACTAATCAGTATTATATTCACTGGCTATTGCTAAACCCGGAGGGGGTCCTGCAACGCCTGGGGGATGGGAATTAATCAGCTTGATCCAAGCCGTGACATTATTATCCGGAGAAAATGAATGGAGTAAAATGTGAATGTAAGGAACACCATCAAGAACTAGGACAATAAAAAGTGAGAACTGTAGATAAGAGGAAGAACTTAGCGAGAACAAAGACAATGAAGAAATGAGAAAAATACACTTTATAACAAAACTAAAACTGAACATCTAGAAAGTAAACTATGAAACAACGTGGAAAACAAAATTAAAGAAACTAGAATTATGGAATTGGAAGAAAGACCAATAACTAGTGAACAGGGAGCTACGAGAAGAAATTATAGAACGAGTGAAAATAAGCAAACTCAGAAAAACACAACAACACACACAAACACACAACACACACACAAACACACACACAAACACACACACACACACACACACACACACAAACACACACACAAACACACACACAAACACACACACAAACACACACAACACACAACAACACACAAACACACACACAACACACACAACACACACAACACACACAACACACACACAAACACACACAACACACACACACACACACACACACGGAAACAAGCACTGACAGAGAGGAAGGTGCGAGTATTGGGAGCGTGTACGGGAGTGCAGTCTGGCGAGGTGGAGGGCGGGGCACTCACAGAAAACCTCTCTGTTGATGACTCCACCCCAGGGATTTACTGCCCCACCGCAACAGAAAGAGTCCTGGGTAAGGGGCTTTGTAAAGGTGAAGGGTAAGAGGTCGAGGGGTCGAGTCAAACCATTCTTTTAACCCCCGTCCCCTACCTGTACACACAAGTATGTAACTCATTCAGTGTGAAGGAATACGACAGGAAAGCCTAGGCAGCCCTTCTCATAATGTAACGTTTTATCAAGTACAAAAGGACAGCCGCACACTGCGGGTTTATCAAAGTTTCCTCCAGTAAAATAGTGGATAGAGATACTAGGTCAGAGAGGCCAGGAGAGGAACGCATGACAGTTAAAGAAGCTATGAGTGTAATGAACATTAAGGAAATACTTTTAAAGCTTCTGGATGGTAAGGGAAACGTAGCAAACGAAGATGTGAGGGCAAACATTATAAACAGTTTTAATATTAGATGTGATCAGACCCTTGAGGCCAGAAATCAGGAGTCAGGAAGCGTAGCCAGGAGCTGGAAGCTTTTCATATAAAACTATTTTAGTACAAGTACAACGCGCGCGCGCACACACGTCTACACTCGTACATCACCAAGCATACACACCTACACCTCTTCCTTCCTCACACACTCGTATAAACACAACGTACATGTGCACTGTCAATAGACCGAAAACCTGTGTGCTCAACACGGTTTCCTCTCTCCCTTGTCCGCTTCCCTCCCTGCAGGAGTGACTAAGACCGAAAATTAACGAGTACTGCAGGGAGCGAACACACGATGCCAGAATGTGACTCTCACACACCATCAATCACGCAGCAGACACACAAAAGTATTGAAACCGTTGATTATACTGTCTCAACCAGACAGTGAACTCTAACTGCTGCCCCACACCAACATCTTTCCCATTACCCCTTGTTACGCGCGGCACACACACTATATATATATATATATAATATATATATATATATATATATATATATATATATATATATTATATATATATATAATAGGCAAATGAAAATTTGTGTATGCAATAATTTCGCAAGAATCATTCTGAACCAACCAAAAAGAATATATCTCATTGTATTTATTATTAAATTATTGTAAACTACTTCCATAAAATATATTCATTTGGATTAGGCTAAATTAAATTGAGCTTGTTATACTAAGGTTAGGCAAGTTTTCTAAGCTTCTTTTGGTACAAAATTATTAATTTTTACATTAACAAATGAAAAAAAAATATTTTTAAACGTATATGAGAACATTTTAGAATGTACTTTATTTTAAACGAGTTCTTGCTACTTGATCAATTTTACCTATTCGGCACATGATAATTTTTAATTATGATATATATATATATATATATATATATATATATATATATATATATATATATATATATATAATATATATATATATATATATATATATATACATACTACATACATACATACAGTGTGTCCACAAAAACAGTCCCTGATTTCAAACAGGTATAACCTTTAACTTTATTGTAATAATCTTTCACAGTTAGTAGCTTCAGATGCAGGATTTAATTCAGTTTCATGTGGTATAGGGTAGCATTAAAGGCACTCAATGTGCGCCCTTCTGGTTGCTCGGCAAACATCGATATGATAGTCCAGTTCGGTCCAGACGCTCTGCAGCATATCTAGTGTTATCATGCGACCTGCTTCAGTGATCGAAATTTTCAGCTCCTCCAGGGTTGCAGATAGTGGTGGTGGTAAGTAAACTGTGCTCTTCACGTACCCCCAAAGAAACTCTCAAACAGTTAGGTCCGGTGACCTCTGCAAGTGGCCTGGGAGGTCACCGGACCTGTTTGAAATCAGGGAGTGCCTTTGTGGACACCCTATAATGTGTGTGTGTGTGTGTGTGTGTGTGTTAGTTATTGTATCCACAAACAAGTGGTATCTCAGCACGTGTTAGAAAATATCAGGTAGAAAAACAATGGTTTTAAATATATTGTAGGAACGAGGTAAATATGTTAGAAGACGGAAATTACCCAGCCTTACCTTAGAACGTACTCAATAGTGAACCAAACGACGACGAAGGACTCAATGTAGAAGAGTACTTCTGTGGCCTGGCGCTCGTACTCCTCCACCGTGGAGAGCACACTCAGTGTTAGACAGATGAAGATAGTGCAAAAC